CAGGTTGAATTACGGGCTATTATTAAAAGTAAATTTATATTTATTTAAAGTTAAAAACCTATGGGGTGCCTGGGTGGCTTAGTCGGTTAAGTATCTGACTTTGGCTCAGATCATGATCTCGCAGTTTGTGAGTTCAAGCCCCACGTCAGGCTCTGTGCTGATAGCTCAAAGTCTGGAGCCTACTTCTGATTCTGTGTCTGCCTCTCTCTGCCCCTTGCCTATTCGTGTTCTGTCTCTGTCTCTCTCTCTCTCAAAAATAAATAAACATTCAAAAAAATTTTTTTTAAAAATTAAAAACCTAGCCTGGTGGGCTTGGCCAGTAGAGTATGCAATTCTTGGTCTTGGGGTTGTGAGTTCCAGTCCCATGTTGAGTGCTTAAAAATAAAATCTTTTAAAAAATAAAATAAAATAAAAACCTATAGTTAGTACTTTCCAGCACTAACAACTCCTCACTGAAAATTAATACAAGTAACAAGAACTATAGCTACATGGTTTTTAAAGCATCTGGATTTGGATTTCACCTCAAGTTTCTAATAGCAAGAGAGATAGAGCATTCTTTAAAAAAAATTTTTTTTAATGTTTATTTATTTTTGAAAGAGAGATAGTGTGGGAAGGGGAGGGGCAGAGGGTCCAAAACAGGCTCTGTGCTGACAGCAGGGAGCCCGATGCAGCTTGAACTCATGAACTGTGAGATCATGACCTGAGCAGAAGTTGGATGCTTCTAGAGATAGAGATAGAGGTAGATAGATATATATATATAGAGAGAACTGTCTTTGTCTTTGCTTCTACCTTTATGTCTATGTTTGGCTGGCCAAGACCTATGATTTGGTCAGAGGGAGATAAATTATCCTGCACTTCACTAATAGACTGAGGGTGAGCTATTCGGTTTTGAATTCATGCAACAATTCTCGAAAATCCAATTGTTGATCTAGTAAACTGTGTTGGCATTTGTTTTTGCAGTTTATCCCTGTGAACTGTTTGACTTTAACATGAAAATGAACGTGCCTTGCTCTCTCACTAATGTTGACATACTGACGCACACCTCTCCCCGACTAATGGTTCCTCTCTGAGCATCACCTCTGGAAAGCAGGCATCCAGGGAAACCGGGCTTATTCAGTCTGCCATGGCCCAAAGTGAAGAAGTCAGAGGGAAGTGGGGCATACCCAGACAGGGTGGTAGGGAGCCAAGGAGAGGCGGGGTAGGCCAGGTCAGAGCCACAGGTGCTCCGGAAGTCTAAGCAGCAGGAAGAGAAGTGGAGGGCAGTGTGAGCCAGCTCCTTTTGGAGAGAAATAGGAATAGGAAAGACACCTGGGCCTCCCCCTGCCTCCGTTAGCAGCCTGGGGTGAGGGGTAGAGGGGGTGGCTACAGCATCAAGCTCATCATTGCCACTGAACAGGAAACAGTCTTTGCATCTCCCAAAGAGGTGCTCCCAGGGTCTTGTCTCTAGCAGGAGATCCGTAAGTATTTGGTTCGGTTTCCTCAGGAAATCCTAACAGTTCAGGGACTCCAGTATAGAGGAAAGTGAGGCCCCCAGCAGATATATTTAACTCAGCTAGTTTCACAGCGAGTTGGTGGTTCTTACCACTGATTTCTGAAGCTGTACTTTTGGATTTTAATCCAGGCTACACTGCAGACTCTCCCCGTTGCCCTGGGCAAGTCAATGCCATTCAACAAACCTTTATTATTAAGCACTTAGATGAAAAGCAGTGTGGGAAAAAGATTGTGTCCCTTCCAGTAGAAAGGACAGGCTTGGCAAGAGTAATTGTAATAAAACGAGCTTTATACAAAGTGCTACAAAGTCACTTTGCTTTTCAACCAGGCCTTAGATTGTTTGTCTATAAAGTGAATGGGATGACCCAGAGCAGGGGTTGGCTGACTTTTACCGGAAAGAGCCAGATAGTAAGTATTTCAGGCTTTGCAGGCCATACAGTCTCTGTCAGAACTACTCAGCTCTGTTGTTGCAGCATGAAAGCAGCCACAGACAGAACATAAACACACGGAAATGGCCACATGGTGTTTTACCAATTGCAACATACTTGCAGGTGTTTTTCTATGTGAACAATTTGGAGACAAGATCAGAGAATTATTAATTCTTAAAAATTTTTTTTTCACGTTTATTTATTTTTGAGGGAGAGACAGAGTGTGAGCATGGGAGGGGCAGAGAGAGAGGGAGACACAGAATCCAAAGCAGACTCCAGGCTCTGTGCTGACTGAGCTGACTGAGCGGTGCTCAAATTCACAAACTGTGAAATCATGACCTGAGAGGAAGTCAAGTCAGACGCTTAACCGACTGAGCCACCCAGGCACCCCTGGGCTAAGATATTTTAGACAACATCGTCAAACTGGCATGTATTGGTTTGGGATACCTTTTATGACCCCTATTATCGATATAGGCTAACTTAGCTTGCTCTGAAATTTTATACCTGAGTAGAAAGTATGCCTGAGTATAAAGCGTACACCTGTCCATGTATTTGTTCTAGCCTGACATGATAAATATCTGACTTGCCTTGACCATGCATAGTCACAGAAAGCCAATAAACAGCAAAGCGGATACACTAGCCTGGCTTTAAAAGCGTTATCTCTCAATGGTTGAAGCACCTCTGGCCATTATAGAGAGAGCTCCCAGCTTAGCTAGAAAGGACCAGCCATCTGCAGGAGATGCTAATTGGCAATATGGCTGGAGGGGAGCCAGTGGTGAAAAGGAATCCGTGGGAGGA